ACTTGAGACTTTGCCATTTTATCAACATAAGCCCTGTTCTTTCTTTCCATTTCTGAGCATCATTTTTTGATAGCTGATTGATATGGTATTTAATAGGCCCTAAAATTATCATAACTTTATAAACGCAAAATATATTGTAGTTTATGACTAGCCAAGCGCTATCCGCAGTCATTTTTCCATTTGTCATGACTGTTAACGTCCTACAACTTTTTATAATGGTTCATCAAAAGTATTTGTAGCAGCTTCTGGATATAGCCAAGTACTGGCAATACCTTCCTTTTTTATTTGACGTTAGAATCCTACATTATATTAATATTATCTGCAATATGCAAGTATTTGATTGTCCAATGACCAACAATCAATTTTATCATAATCTTGTAGTGAAGCATCGAGAAAAACATTTGCTTACTTGGGATAAGCGTTGTTGCTACACCCCCATTCGTTATCGCAGTAATGTAAACAGCTTTCCTTGTCCGCACAAGCAATGGAATCAGGAAACAGGACTCTACTGATCATGCCAGGCATGACAATCAGAAACATGGGAGTAATCTTGAGTATACCGGCAAGAAGAGAGCCTGCTTTCGCRTGAAGATTGTTCTTTGCCCCTAGCGCACGTTGAACAAGAACCTGTTTTATAGAGAGTATCATCATTAATATGGAGAAAATCTCTACTGAGAACAACTTTTGCATTTATGATTGTCTACTAGTGAAATTAAATCTGAAACTTGCGTTTAATGGCTCGTATGTAATTGTTGACATCGGTGTATAAACTCTCTTAAGGTGTGATTGGCTAACTGCTAATTTTTTGCCGTCGCGAGACAAGTGTCTTTTGCAAGGAGGTTTASCATGACGTTCACGCCAAACGGCAAACGGCAGAAAAGATCACGTGATCTGCTTTTTGGAGTTTAACGTTGCAGTTTCAACGCGATAGCGGGWTATTTTGRGGTTKYCATAATCGTGAAAAGCCGCTCTTTCAAATGACTACCAAAAGCACAAGGTCAGGCACGAAATTCTTAGGTCATTGTTTCAGCTCTGCCGTTTGCCGTTAACGTGATGCTTAAACTCTCTAGTATAAAAAGCATGTCATGAACATGCACTCGAAAATCCAGTTGGAATTCAGCTGTTGTTCGTCTAACGTTCATACAATTACTCCTGCCGTTTCCCGGACGGATGCGTAAAACCAAGCCAGAAAAAAAGTTTTAACTAAATGACAATATTACACTGTACAAACTATAAAGACTTGTCAAGACACAGTCGAATTTACCTGATCAGTACAAAAGTACCATATTCCTAAGATAGGGATAGTCGTCCAGTGGACTAACCAGGGGTAGTCTGGGTCGTTTAGTGGTCTAAACATATTTCCCCAGTATGGAGTCATCTTGTAGCAGCTGTCAGTAGCATTTGTTATATTCATGAGGGACACAATGCTGCTACCATTTGGTGGGACTGGGCGCCATGGTGTTCCTTTAGCGCTTCCATATTTGGACCATAGTCCTTCATGTCCACCGACTTTTGTAAAACCTGNTATACCAAAGTCTAAGACTCTCCTATGCCGCAGTACAGCACACGCAAGAAAACTCAACAACAACTGCTACCACAGGGAGTCCAAGCAATGACTTTGAACCTATAATCGTTAAAAATACGCTACTACACAAGACCACGTCTTGAACGTCATACACCTCGCCCATAGACCAGAACACGACTTTTGGACATCTTTTGTGATGTACTCTCTCATAGTATGATTCGAGCCGCAGAGAATCGGACACCCAGTAAGTACTAAACCAGCACTATTAGAAATTGTTGTATTATACTTACTTAGAATCGATACAACGATTGCGCCAATGATCATTACTACGCATTGAAAGACATCAGTGAAGATGACTGCGGTCAGACCACCTATGTCATATATAAAACACGTGATATATATATAGCTGATATACGATTTATACTRTAACTAAATAAACTTTTAGAACTGCCTGGAAATTGCGTTTTAGCCATTGAAAATGGTCATAATAAAATTCTTAACCGAGCTACCGAACTTGATTGGTCTGAAGAGAAAAATCTATAGTAGTTGATTGATCATAAAGAACTCACTGTGCTTACGCTAAAGATTTTCCTATCTAGTCCGCTCGCTCTAATAACATATAACATAATACAAACATGTGTTTGCACTCATTATTTTTTGTTCATATCCTGATCATCTTCTGTGATTTCATTTTTTATCTTGTTTGGTTTTCCTCTATTTTTCAATTGTTGCATCCTCTCCGAATATTTCCCTTGACGACTTCTCTTTTTTTAGTTAATCAGGTATTTCTTTTTTCTTTCCTTGCATAGTTTCTTTCCTTCTTCTTTTTTTGTCCTTTTTTGTAATTTTCTGCATTTCTCTTCTTTACTTTTACTTTTTTTACTTGATTTCTATTTCATCTATGGCCGTGCGTTATTCATTATCTTAGCAAGATGACCCGCGAGAAACGCGCGCAAAATAGAAGCTGGGATCGAAAGGATACATGGGTATTATACTCTATATAATTTCCTTCCATTTCCTTTCCTTAGTTTCCTTTCGTTTTCAGTTTCTATGACTGTGTTCTRTTATTTTATTCAATAGAGTTTTAAAGTTGACGTACCAAGTAAAGTGTAAATGGCGGTTATTGCCAGCACACAAGCTGCAGAGAGGTACATATTCCATCCTACGGCCTCGTATAGGAACAGRCTTCCAGCATAGATATCAACCTAATTCAAAAGTTTGCTTTGTAATTAAAACTAATTTAGTCTGTGACTACATACAAGCTGTCCATACGCGGCAGATTTCTACTGTTTTATTTTCACATAATTAYCTACAGTCGCAAATACGTACGATAAAGCGAAAATCTAACCGTCCACGTGCACCCAAGAACCCTTGCGCGATTTTTTCATATAAAAAAAATTAAGCCACCTCATCTTTTTTACTRAGCCAATCAGAAAGCACCTTTCAATAAGAGATCATTTGTAAAACAAAGGAAACGATCACAAAAGGGTCTTGGATGCATATAGGCCTTAACCTAACCTCAGAGCCTTCAACCAAGGACCGTTGTTGAATAATTTTGCGTTTGTTCTTTCGTGAAGAAGAATTTTAAAACATTTGATGYCACTATTTGCCCGACTACCGGATACGGACTCTTCATATCAAATATGAAGCGTGAAGAAATTATGGTAGCACAAATATTGWATATTTGAAAAGCGATGACAACGCAGTTTTCCTCCCGCATGTAAACTTGTCCGCACACAACAAAATATTTTTCTGCATTTATAGAATCTGCAACTGTTGCACTCATGTTACATGAGTGACTTCTGATTGACTAAAGTTGTGGCTGTAGATAGATCAAGTAGGCATTTTAGACGGTCATAAAACAGGCAGCACTCGGAGGTTTTTTGTGAAAAACCTACATCCGTCTGCATCAAACCTTTTAGTAGACTTGCAGCAGATTAACCTTTTTTTCGTAAATGTTAGTATGTGTAGATGTCAAATCTTTGTATCCCCCAAAGAATAAATCTAAGCATTGTACACTACAGACTAGTGCTAAATGTAAAAACTCAATAAATTTGTTAACGACACTTACCGAGGTTTTTGTGAAGACGTAAGATAACAGGGCTGTGATAGTGAGATACGTCCTGACTGATCGGCTTTGAAAACGTTTATTCAGGTACTCAGGCATGGTAAACACCTTATAATAGCATATAGAATTCAATATCTATTCCCGTATAATCGAGATTGTTGGATCCCCTACATCATCTAGTCGAGGAGACTGGTTACACGACATTATGCTGCCTGCATTTAGTAANAGCCAATCAGAAAGCACCTTTCAATAAGAGATCATTTGTAAAACAAAGGAAACGATCACAAAAGGGTCTTGGATGCATATAGGCCTTAACCTAACCTCAGAGCCTTCAACCAAGGACCGTTGTTGAATAATTTTGCGTTTGTTCTTTCGTGAAGAAGAATTTTAAAACATTTGATGYCACTATTTGCCCGACTACCGGATACGGACTCTTCATATCAAATATGAAGCGTGAAGAAATTATGGTAGCACAAATATTGWATATTTGAAAAGCGATGACAACGCAGTTTTCCTCCCGCATGTAAACTTGTCCGCACACAACAAAATATTTTTCTGCATTTATAGAATCTGCAACTGTTGCACTCATGTTACATGAGTGACTTCTGATTGACTAAAGTTGTGGCTGTAGATAGATCAAGTAGGCATTTTAGACGGTCATAAAACAGGCAGCACTCGGAGGTTTTTTGTGAAAAACCTACATCCGTCTGCATCAAACCTTTTAGTAGACTTGCAGCAGATTAACCTTTTTTTCGTAAATGTTAGTATGTGTAGATGTCAAATCTTTGTATCCCCCAAAGAATAAATCTAAGCATTGTACACTACAGACTAGTGCTAAATGTAAAAACTCAATAAATTTGTTAACGACACTTACCGAGGTTTTTGTGAAGACGTAAGATAACAGGGCTGTGATAGTGAGATACGTCCTGACTGATCGGCTTTGAAAACGTTTATTCAGGTACTCAGGCATGGTAAACACCTTATAATAGCATATAGAATTCAATATCTATTCCCGTATAATCGAGATTGTTGGATCCCCTACATCATCTAGTCGAGGAGACTGGTTACACGACATTATGCTGCCTGCATTTAGTAAKCATATCAAGCATATTGGGTGGAAAAGCCTTTGAAACATTCTATTCAGCACCGCTTAACATTTCTTTTGSTCTCAGCTCTTTCAGCCTTTTTCGTAATATGCTATCATCATCATCATCATCATCTTGTTTCCCGCTAGGCACATGTCTGGCCTTGGGGCGCTCCTGATGGGGGTAGACTAACGTCCATCAGTCGCATGAGTTMTGTTTTTGACATCATCGCTCGTCTGGCTTGAGAATCCGAGAAGAGGAGTTTCGCAACTTCAAACTACATCTAGAGCACATGTAGGCCAGGTACCCATGTAATTTTTGAAAGCGTCGTGTGTAAGCTTTATAATTGGATGAGATCATTTGATTCTTGCAATAGTCTACTTTAAGGTTACYTGCGCCATGTTGAAAGGTAGCCGTGCCTTTACATCGAAGCGAAACAACCGTTGAGCGTGCAATGATAGAAACCTGTGAATAATTGTCTTTAGGTGAGAAAGAAGGTTTCTATCATTGCACGCTCAACGGTCGGCTCGCTTCGATGCAAAGGCACGGCTACTTTTCAAGATGGCGCAGGTAACCGTGAAGGAGACTGGTCTTTTAGTGGTCAAGGGAAMGCGCTGAAAATGTTTCAATCTCCTTAATTGACATTGAATGCCTAATGATAAGATACTTAAGCTTTAATTAACAGCCATTGCGCGCTCTTGTCCAACACCATGAATACAAAAATAAACATCGCCATCAACTCACCCTTGATCTTAAATAGATGGGTACAAAAACCCAGCCAAGCAGCATAAGCACCCATACAGCCTGAAGTAAATGAAATAAAATGGCTACAGTGAATCTTCTGTTTTTGAACTTCATTGCATTTACATGTAAATATTTTAAGTGCATATACTTAAGTTYAGTTTAGACGGTACAAGGTTTGCCTACAACTGTCACCTGCAACAATTACTACTTGGCTACAACTGTCGCAACAATTGCTTGATAACCCTACAACATTTGTAGCCATGTCGTAAGGATGGCTTACATATGCTGCATACGATAGTTKTAGATAAAAGTTGCACCGTCTAAATCGGCCTTTAAGAAACGAARTGTCTAAACGTCAGGCAGCCTGATGTTTAGTCCCAGAACTAAACGTCAGGCAGTCTAATGYTTTCTTAAAAAAATCTCGGAACAACAGTAATTTCAATTAATACAACAAAGGAATGCAATAAAGACCAAAATAATACTGTTCGACAAGTTCGTAACACAAGYACGGCACTTTGAGATTTTTCAACTGCCTGACGTTTAGTCCCAGAACTAAGAACATTTCTTTTGAAAAATCGTCAGAACAACAGTAATTTCAATTGATACAATAACAAGAGAAATGCAGTAAAGACCAATATAATACTGTTCGACAATTTTGTATACACAAACACGCGGCACTTTGATATTTTTCGACTGCCTGACGTTTAGTTATGGGACTAAACGTCAGGCTGCCAGACGTTTAGACACTCCGTTTAAGAAATGAACAGCTACTCGCAATGTAAACAGCCTTACCTCCCATTCGTACGATACCACAGCTATACCGTTAGCAGCACCAGATCCCGCTAAACCAATGAAATGTTCACTGCCAATATTACTTGCAAAAAGACTGGGTCCAACCTTTAGYATAACACAAGTTAACTTTGCGTTCAGTTGCCAGTTCTCGATATTTCACAAGAAATTATTARCATTGAATATAATATAAAGACATTCGTAATGTAGGGGTAGTAACACGACACTATACGCGTAAAACATAGGCCGGCGCTTGAGCAATTAAGTAAAACATTGAATTTATTAGTGTTGACTGACAGAGTTTTGCTATCGTACATGCAGGTTTATCAGTATTTTGTGCATGATGCATATTTTGATATATCATCAATGTACTTACCGCCCAAAAGAGCATTTTTCTGCCAGCAAGAAAATATCCCTCTGCTGTTTCAGCTTGTCCTCTTTGCTTCCTAAACTTCGACTTCATTTGAAAATAGAAAAATAAAGATATGTTTTCATATGAGATATAGCTAGCAGACGTTTAATGGGAAAAATATGGCAGAACATGCAAGCAACGTTTTGCGCTCTTTAGAGCGCCATATTTAAGTTGCCCAATAGCTATCAATATTCTCTGCGCCACTGTTACCATCCGGTAACCTTGCCTTTGCATTGAAACGAGTCGACAGTTGAGCGTACATTGACACATTGACAGACAGCTGTGAATAATTGTCAGTGACAGAAGGTCCCGCTTCGATGCAAAGGCACGGCTACGACTACGACCGATGGCACACAGAGAACCCTGGACGCCGAAACTACTACGTTCGATTTCTTTGCTACCGCTGCCGCAAACCCGATATAGCAGTGTCTTTGWCATTGGAGTTTAGTTTGATCTTTTCATGTATATAGACTATATAGTTAATATCAACAATTATAATCTTCAAGAAATTTTCCTTCGTTCTCGTTGGTGGTGAGACGACCACGTGACACAATAGTGCATGTCAYGGAAGGCTACTATGATCAGTGCATAGTGAGCCAACCCCTTCAAGAAAATTTGTGGTGTTGTGATGTTGGATAATGGATTCAGAGCTTCATACTTCTCTCTACATCGAGTTTCCACTAGCAACTGTCATAGCATGATACATTCGATTCAATCACTGTATTGTTTAAAAGTAGTTTCTTATAGAAAACGAGTGCTGTTAGTRAGAAAAACACTGTTTTTAAGTGAAGCTTTTAGAATGATCGGCAGGGTGCACGGATATTACATAACTACTTCAACACTTGACTAACATCTTATAACTAAACAAAAAAAAAATGACTTCTTTCGCTGTTTATATCGCATTTTCCTATATAAGAATAGAAGTTAAATCAAAGTAAATCGATACACGTGAGAAAAAAAGTAAGAAAAAAGATTTATTGCGCGAGGAATTGAATCGATCAAGTGCGCTCATGAACCGCTCATCGTATGCATTCATGACATAGTGTAGACTTGAACTGCTGAWGGTTTGTCGCGTGTGTTCTGCTATACTAAATATGTCAAAAAGTCGCTGTTTAATTTAGGTCTAGTGTCCACTATAATAGTCCCAATGAATCGCAACAAAATGCAGTTTGCATTGTTGTTTATTCACTTGAGGCCAGAAACTATACCGTGCGTTTTGGGAGCCCGAATGGAACTTACGTAACCAAAGCTCAATAACTAAGTATCACGTATGTCGCATAAACTTGAATAAAATATGTGGCATAAATTTAAAGATAATATGTTGCACAATTTGTTTTTAATATGTTTTTTTTTTAATATTTACAACATAAATAAAASGTTTCTAACCTCCCTGGTTTGAAATATTTCGATTTTTACTGGATTTACACCAATTTAGATATTACACCCTTTTAATTATCCCGTGACTTATAATATCAGTTGATCACTATCACATTTATGCGACATTCTATACTTGTAGTTACTGAGTCTGGGTTACCTGTGAATGGAAAAATACTAGCAAGCAATCAGACCACGAGGTCGAGTGGAGGACTATCGAAGTCTGGAGATGAATTATAGACATAAAATGTTGGGATAGAACACCTAAGGGTCGCTCCTCTTTGTCTTATTAGCATAGCTAAGTCTACCAAAACGTAGTCGCATCGAGACTAAAACACTATTTGTCCTGTAGTAAAAAGGAAGAGATTAGAAAAACAAAAGTGTCCAAAAACAAAAACGTTCGGCCTGACCAATCTTCTTTTGAGTCTATTTCGATGCTCTTTCATGGTTCGCGTACGTTGCTCTAATTAGAATATCAATTCCAGTTATGTTGATATTTCCTCTATCAAAATCACGTTTTCTCATGGTAGAAAACTTTGAAAAAGACTGATATAACAGCCTGAATTTCTTCCGGATCAGTGCAGAGGCCYACTATCATAGTCAAAGAGAGACAGATTGTCTCAATTGCAAGCCTAGTTTTCTTCAAGGCTGTACTTACAAACAATCCAACGCCAAGGCATAACACAAAGTATGCAGCGATGATCAACCAATCTATCCACGCTAAATTGCGAGATTTCTCGTCGAGTGTTACCATATTGGACTTTACGAGCTTGGTTCTATAAATACTTGTGCAGAAACTAGAGATCTGGCTGCATTGATCGATCCGATCCACGTCACTATGAGCCTGGTAACAAGTTTAGATATCGCTCAGGCGAATCGAGCCACGCAAAATCAAAATATGCGGTAACGCAACAGTTATATGCTATGTTATTTGCTGATGTTTCTGCCCATTTTTGACTCATGTTTGCCATTGACTTACTTTACATATACGATACATGCAAAAACAATAAGCAAGCATGCYACTTTATCAGTATTTGGAGCAGACACTGAAAATTAAGTGACATAAAATACCATRATACAATTTCTGTTCACGGTGTAGACCGGAGATCGCTTGTCACCGATCATAAGGAATCGCTCGCCTTTTTCCCGTGAATGTTTTCAAGTTGTATAGACTGGGTTCATTTTCATTGCCAAGAACCCCGCGTGCATCCGAGAATATTTGCTTCCGGGTTCTGAAAATAGCCCCGACAAGGGGTGCATCCTGGAATGATGGACGTGACATATATTAAATTTAACCCCTCATAGGGACAAAGCAATAACCTGTCATTCTAGTTCGGTTTGTCGATTTCATTTCTATTTAATTGGCTTCTTGAGTAAACATCGTCTGCTCGTCTGACTTTATGATTTAGTACTGTCTAACTWTGGACCACCSTAAAACTCGGTGGGAATTCATGCGTTGTTGAAAGTTGCTTTCTGATTGATTCAATTGATTGATTGGTTCGCATGTAAGAAAATTGCGCATTTTTTTTACATTTTTCTCATTACCTTGAAATCGTGTACTTGTTTTGAATTACACTATATTTTGAAGTAATCAATGAGATTACTCGAGTTATATAATATGGTTGAATATAATTGTGAAATTTGATTGGCTTAGAGGAGTGGTATTTATCCTTGATAGTGGTATTTCAAATTGCACAATTTTATTCAACCATTTTATAAACAAATAATAGCATGTTTTGTACGTGGAATTTGGGATAAATACCACTTAATATCACAATTGTGATATTTCAAAATTGTCACMAATTTCACTCGCTTCGCTCGTGAAAKTTTGTTTGACAATTTTGAAATTGATCACGCGTGGTATTTATCCCAAATACCACTACAAAACATGTTATTATATAGATGATTTCTAACGCGCGCTCTGATTGGCCAAAAAAAGTGTGGTTTATGAGAGTATAAACCACGGCTGAGCCTTATTTATTTGTTAACTATTATGCTATTACCTATACAAATATGGACTTGTCGCGCGCGAAGTTATATATCATCTGAGCTCGCGCAATTACGTCAAAAAGGATCGGCGACGGACAAACGAGCATAATCTTCTATTGATAGTAAACGAACTATACAAGCCCAGAAAAAAACGTACAGAGATTAAACATATACTCAAACGATTCACATCTAACTAAAAAGCAAGTAACATGAGTAAGTATTCACTAGACACACCTGTTTTTAAAAATTCCTGAGCAGAAAAACGCAAAAAAAGTGATAGAAAGGAAGGTCTTAAGCAAAACTAAAGTGTGTTTGTAGAACGCAAAAACGACAAAACAACAACGAACAGAAAATCAAAGTTGACATTTAGACTGAATTTTACTAAAAAAACCTATTGCAATCATTGTTCATTTTATAGAATTCTTATCGCCAAAGGAACTGTTTTCCAAACTTATGACCAAAAGAAGACAACGTAAAAGTAAGACGTTGAAAACAAACTKCAGGRCGTTGTTCGCAGGCTCAAGAGAAGCTTTACAGCCAATCGACGTGATTCAGTTAACAAGACAAAATAGCAGCGAAGAAATGTTTAAGCCGTATATAGTAACAACTAACGAGAATATTTCAGACGATTGGTACAGTCCAAGACTTATGTTTACAGCAAGAGAAGCTTTACAACCTATATGTGTGTTTAAGATAGCCAATCAACGAACAAAAGAGTACGAGGAGTGTTTTGTGCCATTCTTGTTTAAGAAATGGCAAGAAAACTACGATAATGGACCAGTATTCTGGAAAATATAAACAAAAAAAGACAAAGCAAACGGATAGGAATGCATAAATGGAAAATGTATGTGTTCTGTGAGATGTGAAAAGACAGTTTCAATTAACGTTTTCTATTTTTTTAGCGAATTTTCTTGAATTTTCGGTTTCTTTTTTTAAATTTTTTTCATTGAGTGTAAATAGTGTAAATAGAAATGCACAAACATTTGAATATATTAATATGAACCAATTATTMATAATTAAATAAACATACAAAGAATTTCTTGAAAACTGTCTTACTAYTTGCTTTCATTTTATTCGTAAAATAAAATCACTTTAATAAATATCATGATCATCATTGTGTGTTATTTACATATATATATTCTGTGTGTCGTACAAAAATGTGCGTAATAGAGCGRATTTCRYATGACTATGCACAAAACACGGCATTTTCGTTTCGAGACGGTACCGTGATTCGTACAGTCATACARAATCGACTCTAAAACACCGTTCTGTCACAGTCACTAGCCCGTTTTTTTAAGAAATAGCACGTGCTATCACCGTGTTTCTTAGACATGCTAAATATTAGTTTCTAAATTTCTCCGATCTGTTAATATAGCAGTACAAGTATTTGTCTTTTCTCTGTTTATACTGAAGTTTATACGATTTTGGMGCCTTGACGTTTATGTGGAATCTGTTAAAACTTTGTACTACTGCGATTCCGCACTGATCAGAGCTTGCTTTACTTGTTACTCTACTGTTATAACCGTGACATTGAATCAAAACTATATGGTCTTGAAAGCAAGCACTTGTTTGTTTGTTTGTTTCTTTGTTGTTGTTGTTTTTTGGCTAGTTTGGTTATCCTTTTTTCCTAAATAGATGTTCTATGAAATTTTTTTTCGGGAACAATAGATAATCAAACATGGTTGTTAAGAGCTACAATATCTTTTTACAATTATGTCTTTACATTTGATCGTTCTGAAATCAATGCAGCTTTGACGTCCTTCTTTCCTCGTTTTGATTTGTATTCCATGTACCCACGGGCTGCAACTATACTGATGACAAGACCTGCTCCCATAGAAATAGCAATCCAAGCAGCAAAACTGATGTACAAATCTAGGAAAATATCGACACTACAATCAGATAGATTCACAAAGAGCACAGCTGTGCACAGGTTTTAATTCATCTAAGATAATCAATACTTCCAAAATCAATACTTTCAAAAATGGCGGTACTTCAAGACCGCTAATTAATATCGGGGGACTAGTGACGAATCATGGAAACGAGACCCGAAAGGCCTTCCATCTAGAAATCACTACGAAGATCGCTTGTTGGCTAGTGTTYAAAAGTATGAAAGATGTATTGGTATGTTATTTAGAGCGGATTTCGTATGACTGGGAAACGGACGGTACTGTACGGTGACCGTAATCGTATTGTAACCAAATTCTAGTGCCCCACTGGTTCACCAAAATTGTGCAGGCCAGGTCCGGTAACTGTGCGGTAACCGTGCGGTAACGGTGTCCCACTCATACGAAATCCGCTCTATRCCAAAACACTCTTGCAAGACACCATCGAAGTTTACTATACGTAAGCTAGCCTTTGATATCTCGTTTTAGTGCTTCGTCCCCAGTGCTCTGGTCGGTGACCGTGACATATCACGCCAATGATTTTAAAGTAGTGAATCTACTGTTAAATTGCACTGCGATATCAACGAAACAGAAACAAAACAAGTTATATATCAAGTTATATATACCCGTTCGTTTTTCGCAGACAAAAGGCAAAGTCGTGGCACATCCCATGTCAGCCCACGTGACAGATCCATTCCATTTCTTGATCTGCACACAGTCTTCCCCAGTACACCTCGTCGGCAACMGTTTATTGTATAGTTTATCATTTGGTTCACCGCTGTCCCAATTGAAATACGTGGCTTTGTTTTGAAATTCGTCCTTTCCTTCATCGTTCCAGACGTATATACCTACAATGATCACATGTGATACTGGTTACCCCTATGGCATCGTTCACACTCGGTTCAAAACGTGYATGCCCACACAGGAACTCTGTGCTAAATTCAGTGCTCGGATGCAATGTGKCATTGTTCAATTCCTTGGTGCCCGGAATGTGAACACTACTGTGAAAATTACATTTGTTTTAAAGTTCCTAGCGCCATCTTGAAACGTAACCGAGCCTTTGTAACAAAACCTGAGTGCTTGAGCTTGCAATGATAGATAGCTGTGAATTATYAATCTCTGAAGCTTTTACGTCATATATCGTATATACACGCAATATAGCCCGGCATTATTGGATATGCTTGGGATAAAACATCTGACTCGTCCCCTCGTCGTCTCTCACGCCTTTTTTCTAGTTTCTCGAAAAGCTTCATGTGAAGAAGAAAGAGAAGAGAGGGAGACGTCTTTTCTCTTCTTTCCTCCTTCCCTTGATGCTTTTCGCGCGCGAGATAGGAGAGAACGACTGGGGAAGAGTCAGGATAACATTGCGGATTTCTTTGATTTTCTCCAGCAAGTTATCCCACAATGCATTGCATATCACCCAGTAAACAAAAGGTTTCGATCACTGCAGACTTGATGCAAAGGCTTGGCTACCTTTCAAGATGGCACTGTCATGGCAACTGTACAATGAAGTATTTATTACCAGCTTCTGCTTTGTCATTCAATCCAATCCAYGCGCTTTCATTTATCATCGACGAGATAAAATCATTTTCAGCTCGACTAGAAATTGTCACAAGTGTAGCGTTCATAGCCATGCAGGCCGCTCGTGCCTTCTCCCATGTCAGTTTGCTGTACCGATTGTACTTGTAGCACTTTCCACTATTACACTTCCAGCCAGGAATATCTGATGATTAATACATAGTTAATGTTTAATAATTATAACTATTTAAAAAGAATAATGTTGCTGGTGTTGTTGTTGTTGTTGTTGTTGCATTTTACTTCACGTTCCTCATAAATCCATATAGACACATGATTGGTCGATTGATTCATTACCGATTGTTGTGTAAAAAGATAAATTGGATACATAAAAAATAGGTGCAAACAGTCTTCGTCGGAGTATTTTTTCACTGCACTTGACAGGCTTCCCTTCTCAACGTTATGGTTGCGCGTAAGACGCAATCTGGAGAAGTTTAATGAAATTCCTTGTAGCCTAGGTCTCGCAACAGTAAATAACATGGCAAAAAAGTCAAAAAAATGTTTTGTCCCTTGTGTAGAAAGGAAAAACTAAATAGAGTCGAAAAAACATCAATCAATAACTTAACAACTTGACAATCATAAAGTATCAACTTATTTAAGTGTAGTTTATTTTCCACTCACCGTCATTGGTGTTTATCTGRCAAATGTATCCAAACTGTGAATTACACACTGCATCGTTCCACTTCTTCGTAGAGTATTTCAACTCGACGCAGTTCTCAATATTACATCCATCGTTGTTGTTGTTCGGTTCTTTGTTGACTAAACTGCCTTTATCCCAAGCGAAAAACTTGGGTGTTGGTGTGTTCTGATAGTTCCAAATGTATTTTGATTCTTGTGATTTATCGTTCAGTCCAATCCATCCTCCATCTCCRGACTGTAGCAGGCTGCCAACAAATCTAAGTACAACAGTAAAATTTACATTGGCTACCGGTACGTTATTAACAATGCTCAAATTATATGGTGATCATTTTGGTTGGGATAAATTAAAAATGCTTTTATTCTGCAATATCGACTTTGATTTAACACTGAACTCAGCAAAAAAAGAAAAGTTATTAACAAGAAATTCATTTCAAAAATGGAGGTGCAAAAATATCAACAAGTTTTTGAAACTAGACATTTTTGTGAAATGCTGACAATGGAATTTGAATCGCAAGGCAATATAGGTCACTTAAACACTTGTGATTTTTTGCAGCGCGATAGTCGCCAAACGTGTAAACAGCTTTGCGATTGTGGGAGCGATAGACGCGCGACTTCATTGCAAATAGGCCTTTTTTCCCGTTAAAAGCGAGCGAAGTCTGTTTTAGCTGACAACACTCTCTCTAGTATCAACTCTATAGTACAAATAGCTTTCCAAAAACAAAAGAAAGCACGAAAAAATGTTGTCATTACAATATTTGAGGCTAAACCTGTATTCCAAGAAGGATTAAGCTCTAGGTCTTGTGGAAAACAGGTTTAGTTTCAAATCGGAGAGAAGTCAAATTTCTAGACCTATTGTAATGTCAACATTTTTTTGCATCTCTTTTTGTTCTCTGCGCAAGTGAGTCTGTTGTCTACTAAAACAGCGGTCGCTGGCATTGAAAGAGAAAAAAGATTATTGAAACTGTGATATATTGAACGCTCACTCGTGCACATGTTCCACTGTAGGGTAGGGGTGGTCAATTTGGCACCTTTTTGAGCTAAAATCCCCGTGAAGGTGCTGCTAAATTTCAAGCATGTGCGAAAATCAGACGGTGATCGCGCGATGATTGCCACGACAATCGCAAGTCACGCACGAAGTGAGGTGCGAGAGAGCAAAATAGCGTTTGTCGCGCGACAAATCGCACTGCAAAAATCACAAGTATAAACGTGCCTTTAGGAGCAAATTAAAACAAAATTTCGGATCATAAAAAGTTTTCATTTATATATTAACGTTCCATGGTCCCCCGGCATGCCTTTCGAGCTTTTTTTAATAATCTCAATATAAGCAACAACTTACGCTTTACTAACCCTTTATACTATATGAATGGAGATACTGTTTACAAGATTCGACCTTTTAAAAAAGGTTTCAAAAAACCGACGGATGTAGATTGAGGATAAATGGATATTTGAAWCAACTTCCTCCATGAAAAATCTAAAACAACTCCGCATTGAACTGCTAGAATGAAAAGGTTTTAAAAGGTTTTAAAAAACCTTAAAACCGACGGATGGAGATAGATTGAGGAGATGGATATTTGAATCAACTCCCGCCACGAAAAATCTAAAATACGTCCGCATTGATTTGCTAGAATGAATGTTAATTAATTTACTCCACAATCCACGTAGAAATTATTTGCACCCTGCCATCATAGACACCGTATTGTCTAAGTAGTCTCTTAGAAATGGGAGCATGCATTTTCGACATTCAATATATATCCGATACAAGCTGTGTGTATTGCATATGGAAAAAAGGAAACGGGGAGAAACGAGGAGTGTATTTGATCAATTGACGCTCTGCGAAGGTCACTTAAAAAAGCGTGCTTCAGAACCATCTATAAATTTTACAAATTCTTGGTTTGCATGTTACGTCACAGCGGCCATCTTGGAGGAACTTTAACAAAGGATTTCTCGTTAGTATCTATTGTTCATTCCTCCAACATGGCCGCCGATCTTTTATCTTTTGGATCTCATGGGAATGGGTGAAAACGATCAATTTATGAATTCTGCTACAAATCACTGACTATACTTTTCAAAAAAAATAAATTTAAAAAAATCCCGGAAAATGTATGGTCTTTTAAGGAAACATTCGAAAAAAAGAAACAAAAAAATAAAACAACAACAATAACAAACAATTGCAGGCAAACATACATTTTGATCGTTTTCGTGGTAAAAAGCCGATCTATTGTAGCTGGTTATGTCCTTTGATTMCTGTGTTAATATAGAACATCGGCCGGAGGGGTGGAGGATTTAGGAAGGAAGGCTCTCGATTTTCGACTGATCAGTTATCTCTCATAGCCGGATATGTGATGTTCCTTAGAAAAGCTCATTGATGTTAAAGCTGAAGAACTCTTTAAGTTAAGATGTTTGTCGGTAATGAGCTTATAAAAAAGATTAAAATCTCAAGTAAAAGTCATCACGAACCGTATAACATCAACAGGATATCATATCAATCCGCCATGCAGGGAGCACTTTATTCTATGCTTTGTTGTCGAAACAAAAAGGAAGTTTTATTCTATAAACACACTCAAAATTTAATTTCTAGTCATTTTGATTCATCTGAATGCTTTCAGACGCCGCAAACCTGTTAAAGTCTGTGATTTCTGCCAATTTGATTGCTTGARATTAAGTCTAATTTGCGGCGAAAAAACATTGAGGCACTAACATGACAAATATGTACCCAACGGTAAAAAGTTGTCAACGTTTTTATAGCCAACCTCATTATCACTCTTCTAGTGAGACAAGATCTTTGATGCAGCAATTTYTCYTGTTTCCACAACAAGACAATAATCTTTGGAAGTATTCAGACCTTTCGGACGAAGTCTGATCGGAAATTACTACTATACACTCAAGCTGCTAAAACAATATGTTTAATTTCCCCTAGAGCTGGCGGACCCTATAAAGCACCTGCGCGAGTTGACAGCTCATTTAAAGACTTTGATGCTGCATGTTATACAAGTCGACTGTACATGCTTAATGCTTCTCAACCTTTAKAACGTCCCGGTAAGTTTTTTGTGATTTATTAATATTTGTAACTATAACAAGGAAATAATATATATAGCTAGAGTACTTCTGTCAGACTGATAACGATATTTGGCAATCCGAACCAATTAAATATCATTTTAAAGATCTGAAGATGTGTCTTCAACACAATTCAATTCTTTACTATAAGATGTCAAAAATATTACATATCGCATTGTTAGCAACGAGTTCAGATGTTTTACAAAAAGTACATTGCATGTTTTTTTAGTCTTTGACTTCGAAGAAAGAGAGGCGAGGAAATGACGTACATGTAAACTAAAAACATTGAATGTTTATTCAGTTCATTTTCATAGTTTTAACGATCTAAACAAATTTAACCTATCGATAACATATACAAATTACTTGTTTTAAGCTAAAAATGCTATCTCTGATTTTCTGACTTGAGAGTTTTATCAAGCGATGGTCATCATAATTACGATATGACGCAAATCGCAATCGATCGCTTTCTTTCATCGTTTCGGATTTGACATGGATTTAAGATGACTTTTTATTGACAAGCATGAACCAATTCAAAGATCGACTCCATAAATAATGCACTTTTTCCTTGACATCTCCCGTGAATAAAAAGCATTATGATGGAATAGTTTTCACGATTTCAGCTTGTTTGTCTTTTTTTCCTCGTGCCTTTTGCCACCGGAAGCCACTGTCTTAAAAACTATATATTCATTAGTACCAATTAATTCCTTTTATCAGATTCATGACTTTTTCATTATTTGTATTATTTTTAGGTCCCTCACTGTGAAATAACTCTAACACAGAAATTTAATATTATAGTTTTATTGCACTTTGCCTCAAAGCGTTATTAAACAATGAACACATATAGAGCGGATTTCTTATGAGTGGGAAACGGACGGTACTGTACTGTGTCCGTAATCGTACTGTAACCAAATTCTAGTGCCCCATTGTTTCACCAAAATTCTGCAGGCCAGGTGCGGTAACTGTGCGGTAACCGTGCGGTAACGGTGTCCCACTCATACGAAATCCGCTATAGAGCGGATTTCGTATGACTGTGCAAAGGCACGGATCACGGCACGGATCACGGCACGGATCACGGCACGGATCACGGCACGGACACGGCACGGCACGGTCACGGAACCTCGCCTTCTAAGATTCCAAATAAAAATAAAGATTTTACAATACATCACCGCTACGGCACGGTACGGTCACAGCGCGAAAGTATCGTGTTTTTTGCACAGTCATACGAAATTCGCTCTATAGAAACGAAGTTGGCTTATTTTCACAGTTTGTTTAGATTTGATGCAAATATCGGACCCTGCTGCGCAGACGGAGGATATTGCTTTAACAGTTTTTCGCATTTTGAAAATAAATGAGGCAAAATCTTAATTAAGTTTGACATAATAAAGAAATTAAAAGAAAGATGTTATTTTAGGCGAATGTTTCGCTGTGTTTTTTTAACTTTTTAATTTTATGAAAAACTCTATTTTTTTTTCAGCTAAAATGAACTCATCTGCGCCGTCCCATGATCCTCTTGGAAGAACTGCCACATTAGTTGCCATAGAGACGACCCTTGCGATTATAATCACACTTTCCTCATTGCTAGGCAACTCTATGCTCATTTACGTCCTTCATAGAGACCCACGGCTTCGTTCTATAACCAATGTATTCATAGAAAGCTTAGCCTGGTCTGATGTAAGTATGGCGACATTGAAAATGCCATTCTGGGTGCTGTCAGTGTCCAAAGGACGCTGGGTACTGAGCCAGAACTTCTGCCCCTGGTCAGCAGCTTTTATGTTGACATTCGGTGTGTGTTCGATTCTTACTATGGGATTGATAGCTATCAATCGATACTTCAAAGTCGTCCGGAATACCATATATGGGAAGTACTTCAAGAATCGCCGCTATGCTATTGGTTACTGTCTTGTCATGTGGATTGCTGCCATGATGCTCGCCACGCCCCCTCTTTATGGGTGGGGYTCAATGCAATACCATGTCTACTTCTCAGTTTGTACTGTGGTATGGGACATGGAAAATATCTCTTATGCCCTTGTGGTTGTCGGTGGAGCTGTTGGTGGAACAGCGGTCGCCATATTTGCATGTTATTACAGCATTTACAAGAAAGTTAAGTCAACCACTGCTAACATCAACGCTTATAACCCCAGCACAAACCATTTACATGATATCAGGATCYTAAAGTCCACGTTCGCTGTAGTTTGCTTTTTTCTCTTTACTTGGATACCTGTGTCCTGTGTAGTTGTGATTGATACGGTGGGGATAGAGGTYCCACGTGTTGTCTTCGTCTCTGTTATCTATCTAATGTTCACGAGTAGCTGCGGAAATCCATTCATATATGGGATACTAAGCCCTCAGTTTAGGCGAGCATTCATATCCGCTATAAAATTCCGACCGTTTGCAAACAATCACGATCATACAAATGATATTATTTCTGTAGTTACCAGACCCATGCAAGTTGTGCCGAGAAATGAATAAACTCTTTTGTCATGAGTTGAAAATACAATAAATATATTACTGATTAATAAATATGCATCAAATAATGTTTGTTTCTGTTTGAATCAAGTAAAAAAATATGCTCTTATCGTTGGAAATATTTGCAAAACACATTTGGAACGGTTGAATAGAGGGGGGCGGGGCGGAGGGGGGAGTAATTGGGGTATGGGCAGCGATTGCAATAGTTGTTCGAATTCTCATATTTGGTCTAAATGAGATCGATTCTCTTCCACCCCCACCCACCCTCCCTCCCCTTTGCACGTATAGTATGTATATATTATCAGAATCTACATCATTCTTAGCAGTTTCAAACTGTTTTTTTTTTGCGTCCAAATCGCTCATTCTAATTCAAATTGTATTTGCAAGTCCACTCGGTGAGTGATCCTTTAGTTTTGAAGATGGAATCGTTAAAACTCCGACTAGCGGTCAACATTGCTGGCGCCATAGTATGCACTTTRACTCGCGGGATGTAAACTACTCTGTGACAATTTATGAAACACGTGAGATATCTTTTTACAGACTACTTGTATCCTGCGAGGTCTACCAAAGGTATTCCGCATATCACCAAGAGCGCGACGATAAATATAAGCGTGCGCAGCCGCGGTTTTTCTTCATTCAATCAAGCAACAGTTGGGCGGCCTGTGTGTGGACATCATATAAAAACATACGCGTGACGTCTACATCATTTAATAAAAACTTCGCTATTCGTATAATACTTACGTATTTTCGTCGTCGCTATCAATAGTCACCAATTGCGCAGCTTTGGATTGGCAGAACGTATGAGCATCTTCCCAAGCTTTCGGTTTTGAAAAATATTTGAAGCACTTTTCGTTGTTGTTGCGATCATTCAAATAGTAGTGCCATCCAACATCACAAATAGCTGTAAAAAAAAAAAAAAAAAAAAAAAAAAATTGCCACCCGCTGTCATGTTTCGGCAGTCGGTATCTTCAAGAGGTGAATACATATGTAGCACTTCTTTGATATACACCTATTTCAAAAAACGCTGTCGGGGAGGATGGCGAACGGCGATTGTAGCGAATGGGGAATGTATGATCGAAACGGACTATGGTTACACTGACTTTCACTTATTAGATTCACCTTCCATAGATATGGAGACTAAAAAAACAATGTTCGCCTCAGACTACTTTACAATATAAATCANACTTTTCACACCGTTTTCATATTTCTTTGTGAAAAAATGAAATTGTTTTGCGCTATCTGCAAATAGGAAACACAAACATATTGGGTTTCGTTATAGATTCTTAAAAAATGTGTGCGTCAGTATTTGAGACGGTCCCCGGATGCAGCCGTTTTATAATATAAGCAGGCTGCACACGAGGCTAAAAGGCTATCGACTGGCTAAAATAATAATCTTGAATAACGAAGTATACCTTCGACGGTCAACCAGTATCTTGTCACTTCTTTCCCTCCTTCTGTTTGCATCTCTGAGTAGTACAACGCTGAATCGCTTGACGTCAACTTATATATTTTTAATTCTTTTTTGGTTTCGTTGGACAGTTCGGTAGAGTATTTGAACCACTTGATGTTGGTTTGATTTTCCTTTAGTAATGGGTAATAATGCTTGGCTGTAAAGGTCACGCATTCGCCTCGTTTCTTCTGCATAGGCAGTTCGTTTCGATCGATCACTTTCTCATCTAAATGAGCATTTAAAAAAAAAAATATTGTCAGAAAACAGTGAAATATAATCTATTGCCCTATTTCATTATGACGCCACATCAAAAAAATTCTATGGATTATGGTCGCCACAAGGGATCAGAGTGACTGCATGCATATCAAATAAAATGTACATGAGTAATCTTTGTTACATGAATTTTATCGAAACAAGTAATATTTATGTTCTGCTTTCGGAGAGAATACAAATGGTTCCAAAGTTCCACTGTTTTTGAGCATCTTTCCGCTAACATACTGTGACGTCATAATGAAATAGGGCATTAAAACAACCAAAATCAAAGGACGTTTTCAAAGAACAGCAAGAAAGGAAGAAGTTGTGGCATGGACATTTTAGTAGAAGAGGAAAAGTTTTGTTTTGACTACTGATGGCTAGCAGTTACTAGTTTTCGCTAGGAGCAAGGGCATGACAGGGATAAGAATTTTACCATTGAATTGCCATCCCACAACAAAGCCATTGATTTAAAATCGAGATTTTAAAATGAGTCCATATACAAATATGTGCATTCGAAGAAACTTTGGGATCATGCAGGGATCGGTATTTTTCTGGGAAATTTGGAAGGTAATAATCTGGATTTTTGAAGTTTAATCGAAATCATGTCGACACCTATATGATTTGTTTAATTGTAATGATTTGTAACTTCAAATGTCAGATCATAATATCAATGACCATAGTTATAAAATGTTGCCATTTCGTACGATCTAGGCCACCTGAGAATATTATACTCAAAGGTGATTGGAACGGTCTCAGTCGAGCTTACAACGTCGTTACTCAGTCGTTAAATTGTCATTGGACTCTTATTGTGCTGTTGTTATATTCAATTGCCGTGCCGATGGGAGCTCTAGTCGGAATAAATAACAATTATATATAATAACATCTCAGAGGAAGGCCAGCGGGATAATAGAAGTAACATTCATTATTCAGAAAGCATCCGTGACAAGAAGTACACTACATATTACTTACCCGCAAAAACAACTACAATGAAGACAAATCCTACAATGAACCCTCCAAGAGTGGCCATATCGGTAGAAAAACCAAACAGATATCAATTTAACAAATTAGAACAGAAAATTGGCTTCATTTTATCCAAATAAACACAGAATACCGCGTTTAAACTCAACGTTTTGCTGGTTCCTTTGACTACAGCGTAATGTGTGTACATGACGTCACTAGTTAATTGAAAATCTATTACTTTTTGATAAATGATTGACATTTTTGCGTGAAATTTTGTCCTTTTATGTAGCAGGTTGCTTAAGTAGCAATGATTTGGCATAATACATCAGTTTCAATAAGTTGATTCTATATATTTTTGGAAATTCTTCAAAATCTCCGTCGCGGCTCGGTTTTACTGACAGGCGTTTCCGGATATTTTCGTTTTCTTTCAATTTGTTGTTGTTTTTGCCTGTTTTCCTTTGTTTTATTTTTCTGTATTTATTTTTCTGTATTTATTTTTTTGTATTTATTTTTTTTCTTGTCTTTGTTCAGCAGAAATTATTGGCTTTTTAACTTCGCGTGTGTTGTTCTATCGACTATTCCACGAGTATATATCGATTGTGATCTGCAAACAAGGCCAGGCCACTCAGCTTCCTGTGGATTTCCGTAGATCTCCTTTTCTTGGTTCATAAACTTCACTTTTTCCTTTGTTTTCTGTTTGATTTTTCGTTTAAAAMTGAACATGTAACACGTATGAATAAAAAATGGCTTGGGAAAACGAAGAATCTTGARGTAAYGGAAAAGGTAAGGGYAAAATATTATTGAAATGTGTAACTTCTCCGTCAAACATTTGAACAAACACTCTGGTAATCGAATTGTCTGACGGCGTCAATTCATTCTTTTTAAATCTTTTGTCAGTCCTTTAGTAAAATAGAAAAGTGTAGTTACTAAGGTTTACTGATAAATTTGTGTTTTATCTAACTTCAATCAAGTTGTTGAACACTACAGTGTGACACTAGACTATTTCACACTCTCGTCGCTAGGATCTCGTCGTCAACGTTGAAAAGGAGAAGATACTTACTAGTGAGCCACTTGAGTTTCTTGTTTTATGCGTTCTTGGCAACAATCATTTAAATGGCCTAAAACAGGAGAAAGTTTTGTTTATTTGACACAGTATTTTCGCATATAAAGATAACAAGTTCAGTTCGTGTTCGCGTATTAAAAGCATTGAGCATTGTTTTGGTGTTCTATAAAACCAGCTCAGTGTGATTCTGCTGTGAAAAGGAAACTGTTTCTTTGAATTAGATTTTTGATTTATTTTTTGGCGATAGCATCAAACGGCGAAGAATAATAAATTCTACTATTAAGTCCTATAAACAGTTCAATGTTTTAGTATCAGAAGCACGAAAGAGTACATTTTTTTTGACAACCTGATTACTATTATAGCTGAGAGTTTGTCGTTAATTAATGTTTTTAGGTTGGGGCAAAATAAATTATTCAACATTTAGACCAACATATTTAAAACCTTAAAATGATTTTGACATACTTGTCATTTAGCTTGGAATTATCTGCCTTTAGTGAAGTGGCAAGAAAGACTTTATTTATTTTGAAAATTCAGTATGTAGAGAGAAATGTAGAGTTCTGTTGAAATAGTGGAACAGCTGAGATGATCACAAAAAAACTCAGTATTTTTCGGTCATACATTTTCAGTAATTGACCACTATATTTGTCGAACAGATATTTTGAGACACAGCAATTTGTACAAAACATGCCATGTTTTATGTTATTGTTAACTCTAATGATTTGGTATCTTATTTTGAAATTCTTTTATTTAATTTACATGTAGATGGATGAAGTTACAAGATGTTTAAATAATAAAGTAGCCATTGGTTAACCACAAGACTCCTTTTGTGAGGGTAGAGACAAAAATTCCTTGAATTACAGAAATATTACAATGGGTAATGCAACATCTGAACCAATGCAGCAACAAACGCAGCTAAARAAATCATCTAATGATGAAAAAAGAAGAAAATTTCCYAGATGGCACAACATAAGYAAAAGACTCACWAGAGGGAAAGCWATGTTTAGAAGCCATGACCATGCTAAAATGCTTAGAGATCTTGTACATACWTGGAGCTATCAAGAAATAGTTGCTCTAGTTGAGCATTACAAAATGCTGATATCTCTGAAGGATTCTTTAATACAAAACAATTTAATCCGTCCCCATGTCCAACCACTTAAAAATGACATGCTTGATTTACTTCACAAACAATTCTGTACTGATGTCACTCTTGTYTTTAATGGAGTCAAATTCCCTGCTCACAAAGCAATACTTTCATCMCGGTGTACATACTTTCAAGAATTATTTTTAGAAATGGAGCAAAATAGTAATGGTGAAATACCGGTGAATTTCCCYGTGGATGGTATCACACAYGAAATGTTCAAAACACTTCTACAGTATCTTTATACRGGGGATTTCCCTAACCAAACATCAGGGCATCTTGACATGTTGATGCAACTTGGTGAYGAATTTGGGACGCCTAATGTCCTYGAACAAGACTTCAAAGGACTCTTATACAATGGCCAACATGCTGATATGATGCTTGTATTTCAAGGACATCATTATCCTGARATTGTGAAGGATAARTCTGAGTTATCAGAGACCAATTTTGAAGTGCCYTGCCACAAGGCCATACTCTGCGCACGTTCTTCWTARTTTAGATCTTTGATACTGAACAAAGAACTCCAGCTTCCAGTGTGCGAAGATACTGGCTGCATCCGTGTAGTKATRGATGAAAGAATACTTCCTCAACAATATGCTAGAGTTGTACTACAATGCATGTACACTGATTCATTTGATCTTTCATCCGTTGTGAAATGGAGCTCAGAGGAAAGGAAGTCTTATGGTATAGGTACCCACAATCTGTTGACCATGGCTGAGATTGCCATGGAAGTATACGAAGTGGCCAAGTTTATTGAATTTGATGTTCTTGCACAAGGTATGATGTCATGGAATTTGCATGTTAGGGGCTGTTCATAAATTATGCCTGAAGGGGGCTGGAGGAAAAGTAGGGGGGGCTTTGAAAAATAAACAGACAATGAAGGGGGGCAGGCTTTAATGGAATTTGCTGACTTGAAGGGGGGGGTTGAAACACAAAATTAAGGTATGCATGGTATATAAATCAATGTTTTTTTTATTTTTATACATAAGGTCTAAGTACGTAAGCATTCACTTGCTTTTTTTCCTCCAGACCACCCTGAGGCATATTTAATGAACAGTCCCTTAGTAGAATGAACAGTCCCTTAGTAGAATGAACAGTCCCTTAGTAGAATGAACAGTCCCTTAGTAGAATGAACAGTCCCTTAGTAGAGCTGAGGTGGCATAGCTTTTACCCCTGTGACTCTATGAGCTCTGTAAGTTTTTTTCCACATTTGTGAAGAAAAAGTGATTAGAGATTTGAGGTCTATAAACAAAAAATAAATGTTTATCTATGATCTTCTGAGCAAGCTTTAATTTTCCAGTTCAAAGTGGATGACTGGTCACTATCTTTTTTAATGATTGACACTAACACAAATAAAACCATGAATAAATGTTCTCATTTCATACACAGCCATTTTGAGAAAATGAAAAGTCTTTTGMGTAATGTGGTAACACATTTTTCATGCTTTCTTTTGTTTTAAGTAAGGTCTTTGCACAAGAAAGTCTGTGTCAAGTGAGACTGTGTCAGTCATCTCCGTTTCGTCATCTCTTTTGAAGTGGATTTAAATGTCAACAATGAGCGCAGTACTAGCTAGCAAGTACTCAGCAAGGCTGTTTTTTTTATTTTTAGGCTGTGAGGATGTTTTACAAGAAGAGCTCTCACCTTCATCCTTATTAAATGTGCTTGAATGGAGTTCTCAACCTCATGGATCTGAATGGGTGTCCAGACAAGCAGAACAGTACTTACTAGAAGAATTTACCACAATYGCACAAACAGACACATTCAGCAAACTCCCTAAAAAATACCTGGTGAAAATATTGCAATCAGATTTTCTACAGGTGAAGTTACTAAACTGAACACACGTTATCAATTGTTTACCAATGTAAAACTCTTCTTTCTTTTTCCAATCAGAAATTCATGCTAGATCTAAGGTCAACATCTGATAAACATCTCATGGCATCAGTATAATCATTGTTCATATAATAATTCTTAATATGAAAGTGAAGATACATGTATCGAATTATTTAGCAAATTTATTTATTTAAGAAATAAAATACGATGCATGTGTCTCTGTCCTCTGATATAAACACAGTGGGAGTTCGAAAAACACAAGAGAAGCAAGCTTAGGAACACGAGCGTAGCGAGTGTTTCTCTTGCTTCTTGAGTGTTTTTCAATCAAAGCGCGCGTTATATATCCAAAATTTTATAATATAATGTAGACTTTATTGACTAGAATGTTTTACTAAGTGATAATGTATAAAATATGAAACTGGTTATATTGTCATAATGTCTTAACAGGCATTATTAGTTTTAATTGGGATTTTCTTTCATCAGGCTTGTGAACATGATGTTTTGCTTTCTGTCATAAGATGGGGCGAGGCTCATGCAGCTAAGAAGATCCAAGCTAGACAAGGTAAGAAAAGCTACATAAATCACTCAATAGGTGTAGCTAAGAAGATCCAAGCTAGACAAGGTAAGAAAA